TTTAAGTGTTTGTTTACTACTCGCGTAAACTGCAGACAGTATTAAGATATTTAAATAAAAAAATTGACAACCCTACATTTCAACCACATGAAATTGTATAATCAGCTATCATGAAATGCGAACGAGTTTATTTCACTCGCGAAAGAGCTTAGCGCGCCTCGTCCACTCCCTTGAGTTAGACGAAGACAGCCATACGGAATAGAGCTGGAGTGAAAGAGACGGTAATACACGGCGGTTACGACGTTCTGCAAATGTGTGAGTTAAAAGCAATTTCCCGACATTTATTCAGTGGAATAACATTAGTATGTAAAACGATTTCAGGAATATGGTACAATGATAAAGGGTATACATATGTGTATAAGGTTACCAAAGATTTTTTTTTTTAATATTCGTATGGTATGTCAAAATGACCCTTATGTAGTTTTAGACACGACTCTTTATCTAAGAGTGGGAGGATTTTACCCTCAAATAATATGATAGATGAAATAGTTACCTATTTTAGACCACAATAAGATAAAATCAATAAGTCCAAAATAATCCATACTAAGATATAAAGCTGAAGAGTTTGTTTGTTTGTTTGAACGCGGTAATCTCAGGAACTACTGGTGCGAATTGAAAAATCATTTTTGTGTAACTTAGAGCATTTATTGAGACAGGCTTTAGGCCACAAAACATAGCGCCGTGACGAATAGCAGCTAATAAACAGCGAGAAATTTAAAAAAAAAGGGGAAAATTATCATCCTGTGGGTTTCCATTGGTACGCTGCGAAAACGCTTCAAGATATCCAAAAAAGTGTGTATCGACGACGACGCCAATGACGCTATATGTCTATCTTTTAAGATTAATTTGCAAGAACGACGGTAAGGGACGCAACCGACGATGTGGGTACAGCTTCAGTTTATAAAGATAAAAGGGTTTGCAAAAGCGAATTTGGATGCCCAAAATAAACATTCTTAGCGGACGAAGTCGCTGCAACAGCTAGTTTATTCATATAGTGACTATGTACACTTTTCAACGTCAAACCAGTTAAAGAGTAAGCTCTAAATTTTGATTAACTACCAGATCTAAAATCAAGGGCAAAGTGGAATAAAATGGTATGTTGTACTCACTTGCTTTAATGTTAATGTTACTGCATTATTTACTTGCAAGAGCCCGACTCACGCTTGACCTTTTTAAAAATAAAATATACTTTTTCTCTTTAAATTTTAATAAATCGTCAAACATTTAAAATGTTTGTCTATCTGTTCGTCGTGATTCTACAGTGTTCAGAAGAGGAATATAACTGAGAAGTACACCAAAGAGACTCTGTCCGGCATTTTTCAACGTGTCCTTTAAATTAATACATTTTTGTGAATTTATTAACCTAAGGAGCAATCCATGTTACTGCCAGGCGGTCTTGTCATTAAAGAAATCGTTCAGACAATTATACGCGTTTTGAGACAAACTAAATTTTATAACTTCTTTAAAATGTATTTACTGATAAATTTAAATAAAACACTTTAACGGTAAAAGCGATATATTAGTTAAACTTATTTGAAAATGATTTTTAATCGGCCCGCCATGTCTGGTACGGGGGGTCTCCCGGCTCCCCCCTCACGTTTTTGTTAAAAGGGATATTTTTATTAAATTGTTTAAAATTATTTTAAACCAGGCACAACCCGGACTCTGCTCTATAACGCGTTTTAAACCGTTAAAGTGTTTTATTTATTTACTACTGTAAACTATAGACAGTACTGATAAATGTAAAAAAATTATTGACAATATATTATAGATACGAATACAATTCTCCGCAAATAAATTATTTTATGGAGGCAATATTTGGGGATAGCTTATCCTTATTTCGTAAGTTCAAATTATGCCTACATTTCGGATGCTTTGCAGCAGCCGTGGTCACGGGGAGATCCGTCGGGGAGTCTCCTTCGGGCCGAAGTTAAAAATCATTTTCAAATCAGTTTAACTAATATATCGCGTTTTAAACCGTTAAAGTGTTTTATTTAAATGTGTACTACTCGCGTAAATTATAGACTATGACTATTATCACTATGCTTCCGAAATGCTTTCATTCTTATGGGCATACAATACATTTTCATAAATATACTGCGAGTACACAGTAAGTATGCCGATATTTTTAAAGGTATCTCTTAATGACTCCCGAGATTCCATACTATACATTGCCGGAACGCCCTTTTTGCAACACAAAGACGCATTCAGTGTCGGCAGCAGCATCCCACAGTAGTATGCCATATCTCATAATACTGGGGAAGTAGCTGAAGTAGACTAGACGTGTTTTTTTAATCAGGTCAGTTTTTCTCCTTGTATAAATTAAGTAGGTACCGAATTTTAGTCTTCCATGCCTCGGACATAGGTTTTCTGCCAAATTGTTATTACGATAAAAATAATCTACACACGATAAATGAGCCAATTGTATATAATGAATGGCCCAGTGAGATTATTCTATCCCATATAATATTAATAGTATATCAAAAGATTTACCAAAAAAATAAAAGCGTGGAGGTTCCGATAACGTTGCGTAATTTTTTTCAAACTCAAATCGATTTTACCTATATATCATATTTTTTTTATATGACATATTTGTAAGATGTGGGTTTGTACATGAATAAAGAATTGTTATTATATTATATATAATCTCAGCATGTGCAATATTTTGTGAAAAATATTACAGTAATTTTATTTCTACTTATAAAAAGGAAATTCAATTCTCGTTGATGACGAGAAAGATCGAGAAGACTTGGCGAATAACTTATACGTATTTGTTAGGGTCGTAGCCTGAAATTTTAAAACGTATCTATACTAATATATAAAACTGAGAGTTGTTTGTTTTGTGTTAGTTGTATCGAGGATAGCAAAATTCTTGAGCTGTAATTAATAGGAGCGAAGAAGCAGCGGGAAATGTGAAAAAACGCAGGAAAATTTTTCATCTCTGTGGATTTCCGAAGCCTACGCTGCGAATTCGGTTCAGGATACCCAAAAAATATGTATGATAGAATAATTCCTTTTTAAATTATCAAAAAAAAACTCCGCGACACACTCTCTATCTTTGAAGATTAACTTGCAAGAACGACCGGTCGCGAGCGAGGGGACGCGTCCGATGTCGGTGTCGGAATGCAGTTTAAATTTATAAAGATGAAGAGGTTTGCAAAAACAAATTGGGATGCCCAAAATAACTATTCTACGCGGACGAAGTCGCTGGCACAGCTAGTGCCATATATACAGATTATGTGCATCGATAAAAAAAGAACTTCAAAGCTACAAATACCTATAGGTATATCCTAAATGGAAATCCCACACAAAGTACACAAATTTTTTGGCGCCAAAAGTCTACCTATTCTTCGTTCTTTAAAATAGGTACCTCTATTCCATAGGTAACTAATTAGATTACTTGGTTAAATTCGGTTTGGGCGTAAAAGAACGAACAGAGTCACTTTTTAATTGTTAATAGTAGAATTAATTATATCAACGTCATCGTGTTTCTTATAATTAGGTCTAAATCATGCCCAGGATATCACAGTTAACCAAACAAACCTTACCTTATTATTTTACACAATATTTATGTATTAAGGTTGAGATTACACTGAACGTGTATAAAAGGATTGAGAATGAACAATCAACACAATCGGTAGAACTGCCCGCTGTCAGTTGACGGTTCAAAACCCGTACGATAAATTCAATAATCTTCTCGATTTTTAAACAGTTACATTTTTGAAAATTTTTTCACATGACATTGCACATGATGGCACTATTTAAAAATCGATTAAAGACGGACACCGTAGCTCATTGGTTAGAGCAACAGCACGAAACACTGAGGACGCCGGCTCAAGTCCTGACAATCTAAAATCGATTTACACAAGCTTTTTATCTCGTGAAAGTTATAAGATATATACACACAAGCTGTCACTGTAAAATTTCTGTTCACGCTCACCATAATATTTCTCTTTCCCGAGTATACCTACACTTTTAAATTGAAAGAAAAAAAAAGATTAGGTATTTATTCGAAATCATAAGAAACACTATTAATACATAGCAATTAAATTTGACTTAAGATCATAAAGTAGATATTGTGAGCGATGGCTCAATAGGTTTCAGATGGCAAAAAGGGACCCCCTCCATCAAAAAAGGCACTACTCTGTATTTACACGGAATTAGGTATATAGTAGGTATATATGCTTAATATAAATGGAATTTATTATATAAGTATACATAAATTAAAATACCTACATTTATTTACTTATTTAGACATTGCGTTGTGTGTCAAAAATCATTCAGATAAGCATTAGATAAGTATGTATTATTACTTATCAAAGAAATTGACAGGAAATTATGCCTGAAACATTAATATTTTTAAAATTCTTATCTTTAACGTCATGTAACAATGAAAAAAATGTGATATATTTTCTAATTAAAAATAACCCTATAAATGCTATCACCATCTTTTATTGCGCTATTTACCTGCTAAGAATAATTCTTAAAATATATATGACATTAAGAGATTGGTTAGAAAAACCACCTCTATATTCAAATGGTTAAGCGTGTTAAAGACGTAAAGAACATACATAGATTTTCGAAATGAAACTTGGAGATAAAAGGAGTGGCGGCGAGTTTTGTACCAATTCTTCTTGTTTCATCTATGTCTTTGATACTTGTAAATTTATAATACACTTTTTAACTCCATTTACGTGATAAGTGTACCTTGCTACACACGATAAATTATTTCGAGAATCGGACCTTGAATCGATACAAATATACTAATAATTATAAAACAGTACCCAGTTCACAAAGAAAAAAGATAAAAAATCTATTCAGTAATAAAGTAGCAAAAACCCTGTTTTAAAAAAATGTTTGTGTAAGTAGTATTCTTTACGACTACATTTGAAGGGTTAACAAACGTTGTCACCTTGCACCTGAATTAACGGCCACCCTATGTGTATATAAATCAAGGACATCAACTAAATAATTATTATGTGGGAATTTTCCATGACAAGATGTTGAAATTGTTTGCGATAACACTTTTCGTGGCTTATGGTAAGCGATGTTTATTTAAAAAACAATTGTTTTAGACAGTTCTTATGTTTAAGTACCTATATTGTTCTGCTGGGTCCATTTTAAATTATATATAAACGTGCGTAATGAAATTATTGTTTATATGATGGTAAATATTTTTATTTTTCAAAAGCAACTGCACGGAACGCTGAAGACGCCGTTTCAAGTCCTGCGCGTTTTGTAATATTATTTCAATCTAAAATCGATTTTAAATTCATAATGATGGGTAGTAGGAATATAAAATTGGTATCAAAATTCAAATCTTCGTAAACTTTAATCACGTTTCGGTTTCAGTTTTTTAATTTCGAATGACCATACGCAAAATAGGCCAACAGCGCATTTTGTATAGACGCTATATTAATTATGCTTATGTCTGTAACTGATGATAAAATAATATTTTTACTTTTCTAGAAAATGAACCTCGTTAGATTTTCAAAAGACGAAACCCCATATTCCCTTGGTGTTGGTAAATTAATAATTCAATATGTTGCAGGCTGGGCGAGCAACGTCTCAGAAGAGGCCTATGTCGCGGCTATCATCCAAGATGACGACAACAGATGCGCCGGAGCTATCGTTAGCGACCAGTGGATATTAACTACGGGCCGATGCGCGAAATAGTAAGACTTTAAATCTAAAACTCCAAGTGTGGGGCACAGGGCGCACAAATTTTAGTCAGTTTAAGCGATCGATTTGTTTTCGACAAGTAGTTTTAATAAAAAAGTTATGTTAATAGTTGTGTTGGTAAGAACAGTTGTTGAGGAAGGCTATATATAGGCTATAAAATATTGGCGATGTGACTAAAAAGAGCGAAGAAACACCGAGAAAAAATATCCAGCTTTGTCAGTTTCCGATCCGTAAGCTGTGAAAACGGATTAAAAGGATCTAAAGGAATGTCCGCAACACTATGTGTCGATGTTTTATGATTAACTCGCAAGAACGACGGGACGCCGATGTCGTGGGCAACAGCCTTCATTTATAAAGATAAGGAGGTTTTCAGAAGCAATATCGGGTGCCCAAAATAACTTTTCTACACAAGGTCGCAGTATCAGTTAGAAAAATATAACGATTATGACGAATTTTAAAAAGATTTTGATGACCTTTTTGCTTTATATCAAACGAATAGTAACAGAGCCCTTTTTGCCTGTTATGTAGCTATTGTTGTTATCCTTTCGTGACCATTCAAAGTCAAAGTCAAAAAGTCAAAGTCAAAAATCATTTATTCATGTAGGTAACTATGTACACTTATGAACGTCACAAAATAATTATAGAATCTAACTTTACATTTACTACCAGTTCTCAAATCAAGGGCGTAGAACGAACGAGAAGAACTGGCAATAAACTCGCCGTCACTCCTTTTATCGCCAAGTTTCATTTTACATTCTTGATTTACTTTTAGTACACAACATATTTTTCCTTGTAAGAGCGGGTTCCTCCACACCCCAAGCATTTTTATCATTTAAATATTGATTAACATGATAATAACCCTTTTCAAGCAATTTTTGTTTTACATACGATTTAAACCTATTTATTGAGAGTGTTTGCACTTCGCTGGGGATTTTATTAAAGTATCGTATGCAGTTACCTTGAAAAGAACTACTACTTTTATGGAGCCTTTTGTTTGGTACACTTATTTTGTCCTTATTACGCGTATTGTACTGATGAAAGCTGCCGTTTGTTTTAAAAGTATCTACGTTTTTCCTCACATATAAAACATTTTCATAGATATATTGACTTGCCAACGTTAGGATATTCAATGCTTTAAACTTATTTCGAACAGACTCTCGTGGGGAAAGACCACAAATCGATCGAATAGCCCGTTTCTGCAAAACAAATATGGTTTGAATATCGGCTGCGTTGCCCCACAAAAGGATACCATAAGACATTACACTATGGAAGTAACTGAAGTAGACAAGCTTGGCTGTACATTGTTCATTACATTGACAGAGTAACTACTCTGTCAATGTAATGAACTCATTACTTAAATAAATAAGTAATGAACTCATTACTTTATCTCTTACTGTATTCTTTTAGCTATGTCTGTACTGACGCAGACGCTGAGAGCAACAGCACGGAACGCTGACGATGCCGGTCCAAGACCTGCCCGAGTCGACAATTTTTTTACAATTATTTTCGATTCTTAAATAATGTCTGTACTTCTACTTTTTTATAGAACTAATAAAATGATATTTTTGCAGCCTAGATCTCGCCGTATCTACAATTACAGTCGGAACCAACGACCTTTCAAAACTAGGACAAATTTTCTCATCACAGGAAGTGAAGGAGCACCCGAATTATGTAGACATTGGGTCGTTTAACTATGACTTGGCGTTAATAAAACTGAATAGTACTATCAAATTGGGCCAAGACGCTAAGATCATTGAGCTAACTGGAGAAGACATTAAAGATATGGAAAACTTGGCAGTTGCTGGTTGGAAGAGAAAACGCGTAAGCTGACTGAAATTTTTGTTTATCAGTTTTTCTATTTAAATTAAAACGTGAATCAATTGTTTAATGCAACAGCACGGAACGATGTGGATATTGGTTCTAGTCTTGCCCGTGTCGTAAATTTTTTTCAATCTAAAATCGATTTTTTATTTATATAGTGCCATCATGTACCTACGTGTGATAGTATAAAAGTTTCCAATTGTTTTTTTATTAATAAAACTAGACACTTTATATATATATTGAATTCATCAAAAACAAAGACGAGAATCGAATCCATAGCCAAAGAATCCGATGCAAGGGAATTGACAAATTCTACGATGTAGACGTCATAGTGAATAATTGGTAAAGTTGATCATGGCAAGTGTGCGTAATTCATGTTTTTTACATTCTGGAATAATAAACAACACAATCTACTAAATTTTATCCCGGGATAATTTCACTAACGGAGCAAGGAATCAGAAATAATTTATAATAAACTAGCCTTGCTTGCGACTTCGTCCGCGTGGAATAGTGACTTGGGGTAGAATGTTTAATTATTTGTGTTCATTAATTTATGTAAGGGCGCATTTAATGCAACCTATCTATGTTGTAAGTGCTACTTTGCCGCAACCGGCAACACTCTCACCTCACATCACTCCTACTTTAACTCTCACTCTCATTCCTACACTCACTCCCACTCTGACTCACTCCCACTCCCACTTCTAATCCTAAAAAGCCATAGAAGAAAGTTTTACTGTTCTAGCTTCAAAAACCATTCCATATAAATTTTCATCCCATTTTTTCGTCTATGTCCGTTCTCAGGATCTAAAATATCTGTGTTCCAAATTTCATTTAAATCAGTTCAGTAGTTTAGGAGTTAAAGCGGGACAGACAGAGTTATTTTCGCATTTATAATATAATTATATATAATAAAAAAATAAATGACTTAAAATTCATAATAAAGTATTTTATACGATCATTTTGATGGTGTTAGTAAATCTTTCTTTTGACCGTCTCTTGCCTCCATCATGATCTCAATTATCAAATTAAGAGCCCAATTCTCGTAATCTCGTAAACTAGTATAACATATTATGTTTTGCGATTTAAGGATCCAAGTCCTACTACCAAGCTGCAATTAATAGATGTTATTGGAGTTGGCGACAATTCTAAGTGCTCCAAGCTAGAGGGCCAAGATGCTAAAAACGTCTTCTGCTTAGTGGGCGATAAAATGAGTGACGAGGAAAAGGTTGCAAGTGTAAGTTTTAAAAGGAAAGAAATTCTTTTTGATTTAGAAAATGAGGTAAAGAATAAATCAATGGTTAACTAAGTTTAAGCATGTAATTGCTTAATACTTAACGTAACTTTCAGTAACCTTGTATTCAAATCAAAAACGTGCGGCAGTTAAGAAACGGTTAAAGTTATTAATTAAACTTATTTCAAAATGATTTTTGAAATAAGTTTAATTAAGTGTGAGTTAGTGTGTTTTATTTATTTTGGAGAGTCTACAGACAGATTTTTGTCTTTCTCCGTTCAGACAAACCATTTCCTTTTTTCAGGGAGGTTACCAGGGTGGCGTCATCATGGGACTAAACCACACGCTGAAAGGTATCGTGTCTGGTTTCAGTCGCCCAGATGATCCTGACAGTCTTGGATTGGCAATGCGCGTGTTTCCCTTTAAGAAATGGATTATGGATAACATTAAGTAAAGGAAATGCGAAAAGAATAAAGAAATATTAGCAAAATATAATATACTTTATTCTCTTTAAAATTTAAAAAATTATTCAGATTCGTCAAATTTTTTTTGTTTAATAAATTGAGTAAGGCTTTCACGGCCATCGATCAGCATATCATTGTTTTTCGGGCTGTTCGGCCGATGTGAGCGAGAAGAGGTTCTCGACGTTTCGCCATCACGTGTGGACGGCATCATCAGGAGATGTTGACTCCTCGATTGCTCGAAGAATTGATATGATGGTTTTTTTTGTTTGTCTGTCTGTTTGTCGTGATTCTACAGAGCAAAATAACTGAGAAGAACATCTGAGAAACTTAGTCTGGCTATTTTAAATACGTCTTATAAACTTATACATTTTTTGTAAATTTATTAATCCTTATTTCGTAAGTTACGTTGTCTTTAATTGCTTAAGACAGGTTCCTATTTAAATATGCTATATAACTTTAAAGACAAGTAAGTAATGTATTACTTATCCTATGAACAAAACAAAACGAATAGAATTTAAATAATTTTTAACAGTTTTTTAAAGAAAATCATGTTGAATTAGTTGGTGTGGTTGAAATAATATATAATTGGAACAATAACATTGGCAAAAGAGCAATTCGAACTAAAACTTGAGTAAGTACATGTGATAAAATACCCTTGTATTCGTTGATTTATTTTAACTTAGAGCCGACATTTTGGATGATGCGCAAGTTAACTAATATAGGTATTTTAAACAATAAAAAAACGTCTGCGCCATTATACCTAGATAAGTCTATCTTTTGAGATAAAATTGCAAATCCGACGTGACCCGGACGACGTCGTTGATAACAGCTATAATTTATACAAAACTCCTGAAGGTTTGCAAAAATAAATGTCGATACCCAAAATAACAATTCCACGAGAACAAAGTCGCTGGCAAAACTAGTTTTTGAAATAAAGGAAGACTGCCGAAACCTGTCGCTTCTGTGTTTCAATAAACCATTCTTTGCATATCTAATCAACAACAGATTCATAACCGTGCGAATTGTATTTCCGTGCGAGACAAGATGTAAATTGTACAATAATACAATATCATCTAAGAAGTCACATAGCGACCCTCTAACCCTTTCGGCAATAAAACCCCCTCCCGACGGACCCGCAGCATTTTCAGGAGAAAAAATAGTGCAGATCTCGGGATGATTGTCCGGGTATATCCTTGATCCGCCGCCCGGACGGTGTTTACGACCCGACCCGGATTAAAAAGTAAACGAAGGTCGACCTTACCTACAACGGGTTTCACTTTACGAATAAACAAGGAGAAATTTTAGATAACTATAACGTATCTATGTATAAGGATGGTACAAACAGGCCGCATTTTGATATATTTTCAGTAGAAGTACAGTAGTTATAGGTTAAATCGAGAAATAAAAATATTTATTCACAAGAAAAACAAGTTTACTAATATTAACTTGTTTTTGACTAAGCCCGAAGATTTCTTCTTTTGTTGGAGTTGAGGCTCTTAACCATACGGTATTTTTTTAAATGAAAAAGCAGTTATTATAAATACTGTGAAATTTAAGAGTCGTCCTATTCTGACGAATTACTTTTCTTTCGCTCACCGTAATCGTAGAGCAGTGACTGTTGTACGAGTCATAGTTAATACCTAGATTAAAAACTTTATGTGGAAATAATAAAGTTTTATTTCGGCCATTTAGATATTCCACCCGTGTCGTACTCATGTTTTTCAATCTAAAATATATTTTAGTTTATATCACTATTATTAAAACGTAATGCATAAATGGTATTTTAATTGTATTTAGAAGCCTTGGTAGGCTTTTGTTTTAATCTTTTGATTACTGCATTAGAAGAATGGCCTTATTCAAAGCGTCTTCGTCTGCTCAAAGCACAATACAAAAGCAACAAGGTTATTTACACTTAAAATGGTTACCGAAACTAATCATTTGCTACTGGTAGCTACATTAACAACATACGCGCTGCGGGACACGGCCTATTATTATAAAACCTCGTTTGAACAATTACAGATTCCCGAACGCAACCATAAACGTCACTGACGGTGACGTGAGACGTCAAAATGTTTCCCTCCAAACACAGTTTTTTTGGTCTATTGTTTATGGTCTATTGTGTGAGGTTGTATAGCTTTCGTCGCCATTTGTAACGGATGAAATTGTTACAATTTCTTTCTGGTTAAGTTGTAAATACGATTGTTGTAAAGGGATGTTGAGACGTTTCGAGCAATAAATTCTTCTGGCGAAGTATTGATTGGGTTTAATTTGCGTGTCGTTACTGCTACTTACTGGTTCTTAGTAGGTGGGAAAATATTTTTAACAAAACTAGAGACGTCATCTAGCGTGCTAAGCTTAGCAAAATAATTGTAACATCTGACTATAAAAAGACAAAAGTCTATTTTATATTATGATTTAATGTTGATAACTTTTAGGAGGGATTCCGTATATTATTTATTCGTATGCAGTGTCCATAATTACAACAGCTTATTATGACTTATAGTGTAGAACTAATGCAAGTGTATTTATCATCAGGCAAGGATTATCTTATTTATTATTAATAATACGCTCCCTTCAACAAGTCTTCCCCGTCCCACGGCGGCAATGAAAATAAAATCATGGCGTCCGACCCGCGCAAATTGAATTCAAAATTGGAATCAAACGACAATCCTTTTTTGTTTTTTATTACGACAAATAGCGAACGTGCCTGACAGTAGGTTGCCAGTTCGCGGATAGATTTTTTATTGACCAGATATTGAGATATAAGTCCGGTAATAGATTTCTTCGAGTGGATAATAAGAATACAATTGTGTTTGGAGGTACACAAAAGATCTATGGAAACACACGATATTGAATCCAACCTGAGTTTTGAAATCTAGTATTAGTTATCTGTGGTCGATTAGTTTATGAGGCAAACTTCCCATTTTTTTACCAACGCCACCAATGACATTCCGCAATTTATTTGAGGCGCCATTCCTAATGACAATCACATTAAAAAGCGAAGTCGTAAGCTTTTAAAAAAGCACTCATGAAACGCTCAATTAATTCCATAACAAACAAGAGTATCACATTATCTCACCCCAAAACACAGTTAATTGTCGCGTTATTGGTTACTTTTAACTGTGACATATTGGGAACGCTTTAAATAGATATAAGGCAAATGTCACAGAGTGAGATATAATTGAAACAGGCTGAAAGTTTTCTGTGCAAAAAAAATATTTGTACGTGCTTACATGCAAGTACAGTTCAACATAGTAACATAGAGGTAAAATAACTCTGGCTCTAAGAACAATACTTATGGATACATTCCAATGAAGTTTTATTCATCAACATTTAATGACATTGAGTTTTTAAGTTACGTGATGATATTTTTATTACATTAATAACTATATTATAATGTTTTTTTACACTGTAAAACCAAGTAGTTAGGTTACATAAGTATGGAAGATAAGACATCTTTCGAATTTTGGTTTGTAATCATAATAATGTAAATAGCTGTTTATTTAAAGTAGTGTTGGAATAAAATAGGCACGAAAACAATAATACAAACAGTCTTCATGCCTTCAAAGTTCTTGCAGTATAATGTCACTTGACTCTGTCCCTTTGTCTTGCTCAGCACTCGTATCACTAAGATTTCTATATGACTAAAGCCTAATAAATATTATGTTTGATGCCACATAATGGGATTTATTTTTATGTCCGGATTTCGCTTTTTAGTTAATGCACTTCTAATGCCTCGTTGACTTTTATAATGTAAAGAAATAAATTGGTTAAGCATTTTTTTTCTCGTACAATATGAAACCAATAATTGGCAAAAAATCTAATTTATTTTCATTCTAGTCATCTAGTCTAGTAGAATTCTTATGATTGAGAAATAAAAAAAAATATTTAAAAATATGTACATATTTAAATACATCGGTAACTTACCTCTGTTAATATTGTTTATACATAAACTGGGGACCCGCCCCGACTTCGCTCGGGTGCAATGCTAGTACTAATTAAATACACTACGGAAAACTGTAAACGTTGTTTAAGAAAACTTTCCTCTTGAATTACTTATATATAATAATAGTCAAAGTAATTATTTTTATTTTCAATGCATATATTTCCCCACGTCCTACGTGGGGAAATATATGCATTGATCGAATTTTATTTACAAGCAACATTTCTTTGCCCTGCCTGACCGAATCAGTCTACTGTTTTTCCTGGATTTAAACCCAGGACCTATCGCGTAACGAAATGCTAGGCAACATATTTAACCGTTTAGAAATAGAGGCGGTCAAACATTGTACAATTAAAATAAGTTAAATCATAGACTGTTGATACAATTTTCGCGAAATCAAATATAACTTTTAACGGGTCCCGCTAAGTCCATTCACAGAATTATCATTATAATCACTCCTGCACTGTCAAAACATCTTAACAACAATTAAGCTATCCATTTACTGGATAATAAAAAAAACAACTCGGTCGCAGGTGCCAGTTTCGGCCCCTCGCGGCAATTTGACAGACTATTTATCCGGATTTAGCCGGATTAGGGCCGGCTGTAACCGGTTCTAAGTGGATAAATGGGAATTAACTTTGTTTTGATTTGTTAACACGGTTAGTTAGTTTTTATTTGATTGTTTATAAAAAGGTTGCGCGGCGTACATTCCATTATATTAAGATTAAACGACCTAATCATGAATTTCTTTTTTTAGCACAACATTCATATAACATTAAAATAGCATGTCCTACATATCTATATTTTGTTTGTAAATTTATTTGTTAGGCAAAATGGCGGCTTATTGTTAAGGACTACACTAGTAGAACATTTTGGTAATGAAAATTTGATAAGCCATCGAGTATTTTATGTAAAATGCTTTTAGTGTGGCTGCATTACTTTAGTTTCAAGTTTTCATGATTTATTTATTTAGTCTGTCCCACCTTGGCCACGGCACCAAAAGCATCGTAAAAATTAGGCAAATTCAAGGACGGATAACAAAACAATATTCCTTTTCGGTAATGTCCTAGCGTGACAAATCGAAGCATTACAAATACGAACCGCTTTTGGTGAAATTATTCTGTTATTGTTCATTATTTTCACTTTACAACACAGTTTTACAGTAGTGGCCTTTTGTTTTACAGCAACCGATGTTAATAGAATACTACCGCACTTTATGCTCAGTGCTTTTGGGGAAAAAAACTCCATTGTCTATTGCTTGTGTTTTGGCGGCAACTTTGACATTTACCGAGCCATATTTTATGGGTCCCAATTTACATTTTGTTTAGTATTTCTTAAATTATGGTTCGGTTTAACGTAATAATTTTGTTATTGCCTATATTATCTTTATATGTTCCTAGGTGCTATAGAGTAGAAATACGTAACTTAAAAGACAACGTTCAAAAATTATTTACTAGGATTTATAGGTTTAATTAAAAGTCGCAATAGTTTTACATATAAAGTACAAATGTTTCATTTAATAACAACAAAAAACAGAACTTACAGGTGCCCATTGTAGGTAACCAACATATTTATGTATATATGAATACATAAAACAAAATGAAGGATATAAAACTTGTAGGTAGAGTTTCTCTATAAGACAATAATTTTTAGATGAAAAAAATACATTTTATTATCAAGAACCATTAAGTTCTACAATAAACTCCAGCAGGAGAAATAGCGCCGGCTGATTCTTATGTAGGAACATTGGGTTTCTTCGATAAATTAATATGAAAAAAAAAGGAAAATCATGGGACAGTTACACCATAAAATTCGCGATATTACGTATTGTTTTCTTACCTTTAATGTTTATCAATAAAGCGAATACTTTAAAACACAATCAGAAATACTCAATGTACCTACAAAGCAGAATTGAACTACATTTTCAGCCTCTATTTTCATCTTTACATAGGTATTTGAAGCCATGCGTTGGAGCGGGACAGCTAAGGAGGGGGTAAAGAGGGGTGTTATCCCCCTCCCGCGCCGGAGGGAGATTATATTTTAATACAATAATTCTGTGTAATCATACGCCGTTTACGAGAACTGGGCGCAATCTACATGCAGAGAATAAAAGATATATATCCTAAGATATTTTTTTTAAACAAAAGCTTTAAAAATATGTTTTGTTTGTTGTAAGTCCGATTCGTGGACTAAGTACACCAGATAGATGTAAATAGTATGAAAGATAAAATTATTGCGTCCTTGGTAATCATTAAAGATAATTGCAAGAGTATATCTACAATAATACCATAAAGTCGAATAGTTTGGTATGTAGTGGTTATGTATCTCGAGAAGTATTGGTTCGAATTAAAAAAAGATGTATTGGATCATTATTCTATGAAGGCTTTGGATATAAAAGTACCAGGCTGCGACTAACAGGAGCGAAAAAACAAAAGGAAATGTGGAATAAAAGGGGGAAAATAGTCATCTTTGAGGGGTTTCGTTACGTACGCTGCGAACACGGTTCCAGAATAAGTAAAAGGTATGAATAAAATAATTATTCTCCAATAAATATCTTTAAAGATTGACTCACAAGAACCCTTTTTATGGAAATTCAATTTCGGCCAAATGTTTCTAAAGGCAAAAGAACGTTAACGAGCCAGGTCAGCTAGTCTGTTAATAATATAATCTTAGTTATATCATTAAAAATAGTTATTTCTTCGACGTGTTCGGTAGCCTATAATATTTGTCATATATATACACGTACAAAACACTTTTAATCCCTTCTTTTAATTTCCAGATTTTATTCGCAATTTGATCGAAAGGTAGCAGTTGCACATTTCTGAAGATTAATTTATCTTAAGACGTGTCTCAAAAAATTAAATAGCGTATGTAACCTTCGAACGTTCAAAGATTAAATTCGCTGAAAGTCGGTTTATTCGCGCCTCAGGTACAGTCAGCAGAAAAGGTGCTGACGTTGTGGAATTTGTAAATAATATCATTACAAGTGTTTTATGACAAGTTATTGCGATAACATATTTTTGATCTAGAATCATTGAAACCTTCGCTATATCGCTGTAGGAGGTTATAAACACTCACTCTATGCGTCATGACTGTCTTTTATACCTATTTATGTATCTCTTTATATATTTCAAATGTGTAGTTTATTTGTTAACAACTCTAAAAACTAATTTTAACATTTCATTTAAATTACTAGGTATTATCAATTCTTATTCCCATGAACACGCTCTGTATTGACCATTAACTGAGTCAGAAATACTATATTTTGTATTCTCCAAAATTTATAATAGCTATAACATTGTTGCCTACCGTATCTTTACCATAGTATAATGCTCAATTATTAAAACAATAATCCAACTTCAACGGCCTTTGGGGGATTAACGCCATCTAGCGGCGATTAGCGCATTCGCCCAGCTATTACACAAAATAATTAATTTTAATTTACAATACAAAAATATACTAAATTCTGTTTGATTAAAAATAATTGTTGAACGACGTCTTCACAATAATGCGGCAAACATTAATGGAAGTCAAAATAACATGAGTAACAAAGATTTCTTAACATTATTTGATTAATTTTCATTTAAAAGTAGTTAGTACTGTAACTGTAAACAGCTTTATTCATTTCATTAGTTTATTTTTGTTACAAAAAAAACAACATAGGATTTTGATTACAATAACTACAAAAACTAGTAGTGCCATCTGTTGTAAAGTAGGGGAAAAGAGCTTTTTAATTTTAATACTAAATGTCAGCAGAACATTCAATGAACAATAAAAGTAACACCTTATTTAACAAAAATAAATATTATAAATTGCAAATGTGTTTATAAAAATGTTTATTTTGATTATTGGTTATAAAATAACATAGGATTTTTATCAGAATAATCTAACTAGTAATGCTATCTATTGTAAAGTAGAGGAAACGAGCTTTTTTAAATTTTGTTACTAGTTGTTTATTACATTACAATAAGTAATATTTTTAATAAAATAAAATGCTCCTAAAAGTTATATTTTTTTAAATTAATTATGTTTTTATTAAATTCTAATGTTTTACAAGTTTTATTCTCTCGAACAGTCAGCTGTTGTGTCAACTATGTCCACTGTCATTAACGACGAGTACGAGCTAAAGTTTGTTTTTATTATTGCCCGAAACACGAGCAGTGTTATCGTAAATTATATGTGAATTTCTTAATGAAATAATAACAAAATACTGTTATGTAATATATTGAACGACTTTTTACGATGAGGGAGCACTTGTACGCACTAGGAGTATCCTGTATTCAGTTCATTCAGTATTGGTAATGTTATTGATTTTTTTTTCATTAAAATCCGTTTGGTATGCGATTTACTTACAATAAGTATAAGAATAACCTAAGAATAAACATTAGTATGAGGAAGTCTTCTACATTGGCCGTTACTTCAGAAACTATTTGAAATTATTGTGCAGACCATAGTTTGAACTAAAACATAAGAACCTTCTAGTCAACTTGATTATATATTATATACCCTAATAGCTCTTAAAAGCTTAGCCTGAGCTTAGCTGTTTATTTTTTAAATTGCCTTCAGAATTTTTTTTAGTTATATTAGTAGAATAATTAATTATGTGGATCCGTTTCATCTAGGTGTTCTGACTATGCACCATTCTTTGAGCAAGTGAACAACTTCTACAATCCAAACAATGTACTGGAAGTACTTTTTCCTGTTGTCTCATTTTTGGACTCGGTGTTTGCATCGCAACTGCTCCTTGTCACGTCTTTTGGTGGCTGGCTCAACTGTGTCTTAAAATGGTTTGTTTTTTTCTATGATATGTCTCGAAAATTTTATATTTAAACATTCTATAATATCTAAGTGATGGTGGCTTTACCTTAAGGTTAGTCATCTTATTATGGTATTTTACTATTATTTATTATTAATAATATTTAGGGGGGGGGGGGGGGCTAGGATTATTCAACCAAACTTGGTAGACTAGATTTCTATTGGCTTTCAAGAAATAAAATATTTTTTAATTCCAGGATTTTCTTAGAAGACCGCCCATTCTGGTGGGTGAGAGAAACAGACTATTATGCAGGATCCACAAGACCTAAATTATTGCAAACCTCACAGACTTGCGAGACAGGCCCAGGGAATCCGTCTGGTCACACGGCCACAGCAGCATCAGTTTTAGTTCTTGCTATCATGTGGATTTCACATATTTGTAATGATCGGTATGACAGTTTTATGTTTCAGTGGATTGTGGCAATGTGGGACTTTTCTCATACTTGAATTGCTAAGAGTTAAGAAATCTGTATATATCATAGCAATGATCGAGATTAACATTGATAATGAATCTGTGTGCAGTCAGAATATATTTTTTAATTATCTTAATTTTCTTTTATGTCTGTTTGGCAAACCCCATTGTAAATAGACCATGAAAGATCACTGTTTTAATTTAAAGGTAAATATAGCTTAATATAAACTTAATTTTTCAGCAAATGGAATTCTGCATATTGGAAGTATGCCATGTACCCGCTATTTGTCAGTCAGCTGTTGAGTGTAATGCTCGCTCGGATGTACATAGCCACTCACTTCCCGCACCAGTGTCTTCTAGGAGCTCTTGTTGGTTAGTCACTTATATTTTTTCCGATAGGAGAACCTATGATGCCATTAGGAGCAGTAACATTATGTGTCTATTATTTTGAACTGATTGTTACAAGAATAAAGTTATTTTCTCTCTTCGAATCGCTTTCAAGATATTGTATACTTGTTAAAAATTGTCTCCGATTGACTAAATTTATACTTTCTGCAACATAGCCTAAGGCCCTATGTCACTTATAATATCGGTAGTATACTACACAGGATAGCTAAACTTCTAGGCACATGCTTATCTAGAATGTTTTTCAAAATACCTATCATATAAACATCACAAGTGTGAAATAATGAAACAAATCTGCTTTCAAAAAATCTAAGATAATTTACTCTTACCTGTAGTAGTGCAGCACGATGATAAGTGGGTGATACCCACCCAGCGTCACCAAGGGCTGGTCTGCCTTCACCGACACTTAACCCCACTTAAGTAGGTAAAAAAAAAACAACTGTAAAAATCATAATCATGTACATAGTCGATCAGAAATCATTGTAAATACTAATTGATTTTTAAATACGCCAATCAAATATCTATGCTTAATTTAAATAGGTATTCGGATGACAGTCCTAAGCCTGTGTAAAGTATGACGGGAAATCAAATAGTTTGTCCTCGGAGCGAGAGCGAGTAAATCAATTTTGTACTGTAAGCGGCTCTATCTCGCTCCAAAAAAATTTTTAAATCTCTCGCAGCCTCGGAGCAACATAGTTCCGCGATATGGGACTTGTCCTCGCTCTCTCACGTCATCATAACCGCGGATATGATTAGCGGACATAGATATAGTTATCGGATATGTGTCTTTGGCTGGAATGATATGTGTCATATCCAATCTTTTAGTGGAGTTACTAAGCACAAGCCTAGTGGCCACGAAAAATGTACCGCCTCTTATAGTTTCGCCATTCGTTAATCGTTACTGAGGTTTTACAATTAACATCTAGTTACCGATTAAATGTTATATGTTACATATTTTTTTACATAAGTTGATAGTTGTACTGTAGTATCGATTTTCAACCGCCAAACATGTTTTTTTTCTTAAAACTTGAATTTTAAGCATTTTGCAAATGTTTACCCGTGTTATATCTGCAGACATTCTTGTAAGAATATTTTTTCTTTTTCCTATGTTCTTTCTCTACGGTCTGTAATTCCAGCTATTTTAAGATTTGCCTGACGCTGAACTGATTTTCGCCTCTTTCGTGGACTCACTTGTACGTTGTACATAAAATCGTCTACCCGCTTTGATGTTCGTAATTTCGACAAATGTTTAGCCGAAGTTTCCTCGATACGAGTAGAACGCAATTTAAATAAAACATTTTAACGGTTTAAAACGCGATATATTAGTTAAACTAGTACTCGCGTAAACTATAGACAATACTGTGTATAGTTAACGCAATTTTGTTAAATTCAGACCACGATTGATATTTTCACTATTTATTAAGTATCACTTTATTCAACTACCCACAAATTCTTGCAATTTTGATTTCATAGAAATACACATATCTCGTAAGGTCATAAGCCTTGTCTGCATGTCCATTTTCCTGAAAACTTGGTCTTTGAAGGCACGTAGTTCCAAAGCATAAGCGTAATCACTAATTACAATTTACGATAAATGATTATCGGATGCATATACGACTAATACTATATACGAACGAAAATGTGGAAAAACGAGAAAAATATTTATTTTTAAGGTTTTCCCTGTTACAAGCGCTGCATAACCGGGTTTGAAAATTTAAAAATATTTAAAAAATATTTCGTGACAGTATATGCCTATATTTTAAGATTTACCTACTCGTATGAACAAGGAGACGCCGACGATGTCGTGGGTAAAAGCTATAATTTATAAAGCTGACGTTGTTTGTAAAAATAAGTACGATGCCCAAAATAGCTATTCTACGCGAACGAAGCCGCAGACAGCTAACGTAACTTACATACATACTTCGTATTTGAAACCGTTAAAAGTGTTTCATTTACATTACTTAACCGTAATTATCGGCTTGTGTAAAATGGAACGGTTCCAATATTCCAGGTGCCTTTATAGCTCCAGCGCTGTGCATCTTCGTATCGGACCCGTACATCTGGCACTACGGCTGGTACGCGAAGGAGACCGCGCGTCGTGCTGTCCAGTACCACATGGGCTGCGCCGTCAGCGCCATCACCGTCGCCCTCATAACTTACCACACCCTCATGTTCTACGATATCGACCCACATTATACCGTCAAACTGGTGAGTGGCTACGTACTGGCGGAATTGATTTTAATAAAAGTGTATAATAAATTAGTATAGCTTTAAAATTTTTAGATTTAAAATAACGACACGGGCAGGACACGGTAGCTCAATTGTTTAGAGCATGGAACACTAGATGCCGGTTCAAGTCCCGTGCGTGTCGAAAATCTTTAAAGATTTTTCATAAATTAGTTTACATATTTTTATTAAAGTTTGTAAGTGGTATTCAATTAATAAAACGAACTAAATTATTTTATACTGTTCGCGTTTTTAACTGTAAAATGTTTAATTTAACATATCAAAAATCAATGAACTAACGATAAACTATACGAATTTCCGAGGTGTTTGTTTGCGTAGTTAGTTATGACTTATTTCACCTTCCATGAAGTTATCCCCGTTATTATTATTTTATATTTCTTTACAGAGGACTTGTCCCCTTCAAACCTTCTGGTGTCTTTGCAAAATCTTATAAAAGTACCCTCACTTTTTAGTATCATCTTCTGCTGCCCATGATCTCATCTTTTTTGGCTTCTCTCAAACAAAAAATCGTTTCAGGCGTTCCGTTGGTGCGAGCAACCGGACAACATACACGTATCCACCACTCCATTGTTCGCTCTAGTCCAGTGCACGGGGGCACTGCTTGGTTGGGCTTCGTTCGTTACGCCAGCTGTGGCCAGGTTAGAACAAAAAAACATGGACACACCTAAAACACTAATAATAATATTATCAACTCCTGAACACACAGACGAACAAAAGGACTTGTATGTGTATGTACTAACTAACTGTGACGTCATATCATGTTACATACAGATGTTTTTTTAATTATTATTATTATTGTGTTATCGCTCTACATAATGTTGACGAGATATGCTATATCAAACTAACTTCTTATAATCTATCTCTTAGTGTCGCTATTCCTTTCAGATTCCACCACTTAACATAAAATATATGTAACTCACTCTTAGGGTGTATCTATCTCATTCTAATTGTATATCTGTCGCTTTCCCATTCCGTGACAAAACAGACGATATATCTAATTCTCTCTTATTTATTCTACCTAGCTGTCTTTAAAATTTCGTTACAAAACCTAAAATATTTCTAACTCAATCTGAGAAATCATCTATCTCGCTCTAATCGTATCTCTGTCTCTTTCAGATTCCGCCACGACACGTACAAAAGGTCGTTCATAATATCAGCATTCTCTACACTGTCTATCACGTACGGTCTGCATTATCTCGAGGCGGCAATACCGAGGCACAGTGTGCCCATCTTCTACGGGCTCAACTTCGTGTTAAATGTCGCCAAACCGCTGCTCTACCTCCGAGTGTTGCCAGAGCTCTCGATGTGGCCGTTTAAGGATAAAACAGCCTAATACTGAAAAATAAAAAAAATTACAACTGCGTACAAATATAAAACATAGCAAAACTGTTTAGAATAAAAAAAAATAAATCAAAACTCAATTTAAATTCTAAAAAATATCTAACAATTATTCATTATTTAAAGGTACTAAACGAGACTTGAAGGCGAGAGAGTTCTGATTTTAACGTATATTTAAATAAACCACCTTTAACGGTTTAAAACGCAAAATATTAGTTTAGATTTATTTTAACTACGATCTGAGGTTATCGATGCTTTGCAGCAACTGTGGTCGTACGTTTTAAACCGTTAATATATTTTATTTAAAATATTTTCTACTCGTGGAAACTACAGACAATTCTCAGTTAACGTGTATGTCAGATTTAACGTACGTTAATTACATGGGTTCACATACGGTTCTTAAGGATATACAGTCTACCTACATTATAGGTATGATAAATATTTTACGTTACCTACTAAAAGTTACCGTTGACCCAATGGTAGCCAATATATCCAATATATGGTGGGTCCAATATGTTTTTAAAATTGCTTTATAGTTTGTCAGAAACTGGTTAGAATTCGTCTGGAATTTTAGATATTTAATGGTACGGATATCGAAATTCAGTCTAGGTCACAAACTACCCTCAACAAATGTAATTCCTAATAAATCTATAGTTGCCTTTCTTTTTCAGTTTGTGTATTCCGTATGGATTTCCGAATGTCTAAAGCCAAAAGATCGACAGCACATGTTGTTTAGTTGTCTACCCTCTAACATAAAGAAATTTAGAAACGTAACATAGAAAAGCTGAAATGTTTACGTAGTGGTATTCGAACTCGAATTTCGAAGAATAGGAGACTGCTAGAGGCAGAGTGGCCTAATAACGAGTAATAAGATATTTTCAATAAGGAGGAAAATAAAAATGCGCAATTAATTTAGGTGACAGTATATAGATTACGTTAGAGAAAGTATATAGATTACTTTAGAATTACGTTAACAATTTCCGGTCACTGTGCTCTTGTAGATTAACATTTTTAGACTATTGCAGTTAGGCTACTCTGCCTCTAGTGGCCTCGTATCTATTATGTAGAGCTGGGTACTGACTAAAATGTTACTATGGTCAGTACCCAGTTTACATAGATTTTGGATTTTAGTTTAATGCACAAAGATATTTAGATGAAATTTTAATGCTGAGTTGTAATTTAATGCAATTTTGTTTTTATATATTTTTTTTATTTGTTCCTAGTTAAAGAATGTTTTCATTTATCACATGCTAAAAGCATGTTTGCTGTTTTTTATTTATCATTAATAAAGTGAAACATACGGGTATGTTTCTGTTTTTTTTTATTACTAAAACCTTTAAATGTGTTTATCCATAATGAAAAACTAAAGATTAACAATACTAAATTTTGCACAGTCGTTCTGTGTGATTTTTAAAGCTTTTTCCCAAACATTTGCATTTATATTTGTTTATAATAAATTATTTGTTTTGTGGAATTTTACGACACGGGCATTCCATGCTGTTGCTCCAGAATCATTCTGAAACATGATGAATTTCCTCTGAAAACCCTTGGATATTGAATGGGTGTGGGAAATATCGAATTTTCGAATCCTGGTCACGAACCACCGCCAACACATGAAAAAGTCGTGAAGTTTCATCGCGTTTCGATTTTATATGGCGGGGGTAAAAAAATAAATAAGTACACCTTCCATCAAATGAGGCCCCGTGCTCGTCTGTCTGCAGTAGTGATGCAACGGATAGTTGCCGGATACCGGATACCGAATATTCGGCCTCCTCACCACCGAATATCCGTTATCGGCCGCCGAATGTTCGGCGGCCAGAGAACTAAACAAAAGCTAATTCTGGAGAGCCTAAAAAAGAATTGTAGCGAAGAGGATTCGCCTCCAATGTAAAGATGGGCAGATAATGGCGCAAATTTCTGTTCTTGTATAAATAAAAAATATATCGTGTAGCAGTGTTTATAGCGAAATACTTTTTTGAGGGGCAGGCAGGACTTGTTCATAAAAATTGGAGAAATCGATTGTTACCCAAAAATTTGCCGTTAGTTAATTATGAATACTAATCTCTCTTTTTGTTTATTTGGTAACACTTATTTTATTTGCTTTAAAATTATCATCAGATTCGCTACGATTAGTTGATCCATTCAACTGCTGCTGATCATAGGATTTTCGTAAGGACTTTAAATTAAGCTCTTTAATAAGTTTAGGCTGTATGTTAAAGGTGATACTGGTAAACGAATATTGATAATTTGTTGTTGTTTTCTTGTATACTAACTAACAATTTTTCAAAGTTAATATATTAATACTAAACAAAATCATTATTCGGTATCCGGCCGAATAGTGCGCAACTATCCGGTATTCGGCCGAATAGTAAAATAATGGCCGAAGCCGAACGATAGCAACCGGATATTCGTTGCATCTCTAGTCTGCAGACATCAAAAAATTTATACATAGTCAAAATCCTATACTCCTGTAACCTGCCTACGTACAAACTAATTACACTGTTAAGGTTTCTCGAAAGAAAACTTTTTTAATTTTAGCTTAAAACAATTGATCAAATTAAAAAACGTTACAGCCGCTTTACGATTTACCTTTGAATTTACCCAGACTCTTATATGTTATAAAGTGAAGAATCAACGTGTTGAACATTGAAAACCAAGGAAATTCTGTTTCGATATACTTTCCACTTAAGAAATATTTGAGGGACACCCTGTATATTACATTATGTCGGTGCCACCAAATGTGTTTTCGGTAGATCAAAAGTATATTTTAATAAGCGAATTGAAGAGTGCCCACTTGACTTCAAGTGGCGATAATAAGGTGAGCGAAATCAATTTCACCAATATTAATTCTGAATCTAAACGAAACGGTACGAATCATGATGAGATCGGATCGTTTCGAACCAAAGGATTTGATCGAGCACGTAAGTTTCAGTTTATTTTTTATAAGTGTTGCCAGATCTTTTGCACTACACACACATTATACAGACACATTTTTGAATCCGTTTCACTCTTCGATTTCATTTATAGACAGTAACTTTACCGGACTTCTGTCCCATTGAAACTATTTTTATTACCCCAAGATTCGAACCTACAATGTCTTGTAATTTCCAATTTAACTATAGTCAAACAAGAAAGAGAGCAAGTAAGTTAATCGGTAAATACTGTCTAAAGTTTACGCGATTAGTACACATTTAAATAAAACGTCGAGGCGAATAAAAAATCATTTTTAAATAAGTTTAAGTAATATATCGCGTTATAAACTATTTTATTTAAAAGTTAGTCGTTTTTTATGTCCAAATTATGTAACTGTTATAAAAATTACACAAGTATATTTTTATTTAGAAGTAAGTTGCAGCCTTATTCGTTCTTCGCGGGGCATGGGCCAAACACATTTCTGTGGCCGTTTAACCGATCGATTTTATTTGTGTTTTCTTACTGGCCCGTTTGTTTAAAAGTTTGTATATTATATAAGTTATAATCAACGTGGGGACGTTGAGTATAGCTAGTCTAGTTTTCAATGAATTTACTCATATAATTTTTTTGAAACATGTTCGACTATGTCTGGATCTGGAGTAAGTCTGGAAGTTAAATGGTTGTTGGGAATATCGAAATTCCGTCCATATTGCGAATACCTGTCCACAGATGAAAGAGCTGACTTTAATCGCGTTTGGATTTCAGTCTTCGGATACTCGCATATCCAAAACCAAAATAGTCGACAGTGCGTCTTATTGAGACGTTACATGTGCTTGTGTGTCATCTTCTGTCATAAAAAGTAGTTGCCAAACTTTATTATACTATTATACATAATATTGGTTTACCTACGACGCGAACCCAAAACATCTAGTGTTATACGCGATGCTTAGCAAAACGTTTACCAATTAAGCTACAGGAGATGGTCAGACGCACAAAGGATGTAATAAGGCTACATCTTTTAAATAAAACACGCCACATAGCATCCTAAATGTCGGGCCGTAGTTAAAATAATTTGTCAAGTGTAACTAGTTTAAATAAAACACTTTCACATTTTAAAACGCGATATATATTAGTTAAACTGTGTGTGTATTATTTAAACGTGTATTACTCGCGTAAACTCTGTAGTTTAGTTATAGTTCTATATCTGTATAGACGAACATAATGAGTGAATTGAAATAAAAAATAGACATGACAGTGTTAGATAAAGATCACGCCAATCTTGGACGATTTGCATAGTACCGAGCTATGTATGTCGCTTCTAATTGAACATAAATATACATCAGATTGATTTATTGTCCAGATAACAGAAATGGACTAGGTCCAAACAAGTTGTAAAGTAAAACACGCTTCTTTCGGAAAGTCACTATGTATAGCTATTACCTATTTGGGGTTTACATATGACTATATGTATATATTTGTTATCTCCTTCATTTTCATCCTTCATTTTCCAAACCATAATCCATGTTTTTTAGTTTAAAATGTTTATTTTATCATCTATACTAATATTATAAAACTAAAGAGTTAGTTGTTTGTTTGAACACTCTAATCTTAGGATCTACTGGTTTGCATTGAAACATTATTTGTGTGTGAAATAAATCATTTAGGGTGAAACTCTTTAGGCAATATAACATCGCGCTGTGACCATTGCGAGCAAACAGTGGAAAATGTGGCAAAACCGGGGAAAAGTACTCTAAAAGTCTAATAACCAAAAAGATTTATGAAAGAATGATTCCCCTTTTTAATTTCTCAAAAATGACACATACAGAAATATATTATGTTTATATTTTAACGCGGACGACGTCGTGAGTAACAGCTAGTGTGTACTATTTTTAATGACACAGTAAGATTTGGTTCACTTCTTAGTACCTACAATACCCCCGCCATATACCTAACGTTGAAAGAGGAAGATGCACTTTCTACCTAATTTGGTTGTGGATATTCGCAAATATACAGACAAATCGAAGGGAGATTTCACTTTTAAAAAACCCCTTTTTAGCTTTAAAACCCAATTTATTTTAAAAAAATTTTTAAAAAAATTTTTTTTCCCCCCCCCCCCTCTTCGGGGGGTTTCCCCCCCCCCCGGTTTTTTTTTTTTTTGTTCCCCCCCCCCCCCCCCTAAAACATTTTTGGGTTTCCCCCCCTTCCCCCCCCCCCCCCGGGGGGGCCCGGGCGCCCGGATTTTTTTTCCCCCCAGGGGGGGGGGGGGGGGGGGGTCCCCCCCCCCCCCCCCCCTTTTTTCCCCCCCCCCCGCCCCCCCCCCCCCCCCCCCCCCCCCCCCCCCCCCCCCCCCCGGGGGGGGGGGGGGGGGGCCCCCCCCCCCCCCCCCCCCCCCCCCCCCCCCCCCCCCCGGGGGAAAAAAATAAAAAAAAACACTATAAATAAAAAAAATATTTTTTTTTTTTTTTTTTTTTCTTTCCCCCCCGGGGGGGGGGGGGGGGGGGGGGGGCCCAAATTTTTTTCCCCCCCCCCCCCCCCCCAAAAAAAAAAGGGTAATTTTTTTTTTATTTTTTTTTAAAACCACAAAAAAAAAAAAAAAAATAACAAAAATTCCATTTTGTTTAAAAATCGAAATTCGGCCACGACTTGAAAAAGCAACAGCACGGAACACTGACGATGCCGGTTCAAGTTCTGCCCGAGTCAAAATTTTTCAATTATTTTCGTTTTAAATGAAAGTGCCTTCATGTGCAATAATATGTAAAAATAATAAAGTTATCAAATCCATTTTGTTTTCAATACACAGTCAAAAATACTTTCAGGTTAAATCGTTAATAAGACAATCTAGTAAAGATGAGACAAAATCTTTACGGCCGAACTACGCCTGGCTCAGATCCAGACATTTAAGCGTGGCTGAGGACAATCGTTGGACAAATACGAACATAAAGTTAATAAGGTAAAATTTTAAAAAAACCTCTTTCCGGGTTTAAGAACTCGTTTGTTAAACTAACGAAAATCGGCCCGAGTGTAGATTTAAAAAGTAACAAATTTCGGTTTAACCGTTAAGTGTTTTATTTAAATGTGTACTATCGCGTAAACAATAGACAGTATGTAAGGTAAGAATTGTTTCTCTCATATCGCACACTTATGAAGTTCGGTTAACAAGTATGTACATTATTTTATTAAGATACTTATTGAATAACCTAGGTATTTACTAGTTACTGTCTACGACTGGTAGACTTCAAGGATTGTCTGGATATGAAAAATTAAATAATAGTGCTGATTTTACCTTTTACGGCAACTAATCGACCAAACTTTTGTGCCCCACCGGTACAATTATGTACTGATGTTTTTTTTACATTTAAACTCAGGAACTCTTACGTACTTAGGCGCAGTTTTAAACAGTTAAATCAAAGAGGTACATGTTTTGTGGTTGAAGAATATATATATGTGTAATAAGATTGAGCGAGCCATAGTAGCTCAATGGTTTGTGCAGCAGCATGGATTCTTGTGGACGTTCAAGTCCCGCCTATAGCATATTTTTATTTTTAATCTAAACTAAAGTAACGCTAAAATACAATAATATGTAAAAATAATGAAGTTTACTTACGTGTTTCAGCTGACGCCAGAGAGTTGCGCCGCCATAGCTGTGAAACTTGACACATTGACAGATGGAGCGAACATACCACCGGAGAACATCGTGAAGGTCTTCGAGAAGCTCTTAGAAGAACAGGAGAATATTCAGCTTCTTCAGTTGGCTGATAAACGAGGAAAGAAGGTACAAGCGCAGATTGGCAGACGGAGAGCTACTATCGCGTTTATTTCTTATTAGATGCGACACAGGACATTCTCGTCACAACATTAGTTTACGTCAATTATATTGCCATTGATTTGTTAGCCAACTTGACAGAAAAAAACAATAAAATCAAAAATTTATGAATGTAAATATTATAAATGTATGAATGTAATTTAACGCTGGCAGACCAATAAAAAAAAATAATAAGCAACATTACTCGCTGTCTTCCTACATTATTATTATAATTTTAAAAATAAAATAAATTAATATATCTAAATTGATTACAATACTTAGAACCTATTAGAATCGCGTGCAATTACAACATGCTTCACGTCACGCGCCAACTGCAAAAATTAGTGCAATATTGATTACAAACACGACAATTCTTAACGAAATTCAATCAAAATTCAGGTCAGAAACAAATTAGGAATATGGATTTGCCTAACTAGAATATTTCCACTAAACTTGAATAGAATTTGCGTACTATTAATTAAAATGAAACAGTTAAACTTTAATGTATTTTTATAAAGGAATTTATATTCTGTGCACGTACTAAATGCCTCGTTAATAATCTGTAGTTATTTAAAAATACAAACGCGGAATATGCTTTTCCCGCCTATAATTGAGCAGCTGTCATTTCACTTCGCGGCGACTCAATGGCGATCGGATAGTTGTCCTTGCACTTCCAAATACGATCGCAATTTTAAAATGGATGCGTCGATAATAAATTAATATCACGCACGCGAACTATTTTAAGACAGGCTGAATGTCAACGATAAAGCTATTACAGTTTATTTAATGGTATATTGTCTTATAGGACGATGTAATGGCACACCTTCTGTTACAGACAGTCTTTAAAATTAATTGTTGGAATTTTTACACTTTTGGTTTCAAACCACAGATTAAATTACTATATTTTTTTAGTTTATGTTGACGTATTTATTATACCACCACTTAAATTCCTCCATAACAATCATACCCAAAAAGAAAATATGAAATGCTACATTCGTTTTAAAACTTGTGAATTATTTACAAAAATGATCACGTAAAAGCCCTTTTCTGTGTTATTGCTACAACGATAGATAAGCTTGATTTCAATAAAACGAAACAAATAGAATTAAACGTGTTTTATTTACACTTTTTACAGGATTTTTTTACAAAACCAAATGCTCAGCATTCACGTACTTATTTTGAACGTAAACGCGAATTATTCACATTTTTTTAAAGAATTATGGCAGTGACTAATTAATATGCGCCGATTTTCTATTAAAATATTCTTTAAACCACTCAGATGTTTATTGGACGATGGACATTTTATTAGAAAATCGGGTATTAACAAGGATTGGTTTTGAGCCTTTTAGGGTAAGACATCGCCGATTCGTTGGAGTAGTTGTTAGTAACGGAAGACGATGTTTTTACCCTAAATTAGTGACGTAAGGTGGGGAGCCAATGTTAACTGTTCACCAGCAGTATGGGTAATTTGGGCAGGTCGCTGGGTTCACTCCAGCCGGGTACTCGCGAGCGGCGGCGGCATGAGGGCTAAAAGAAAAGTTCTTCTTAGATTTCTCAGCTATATAAGAACTGAATAAAAATTATATAGACTACCGACCTTAGCATTAGATAGTAGGCACTTTTATAGTAAACGAAATTAAAAAGCTGTTTAGATGGGAAAAAAATTACAACACAGGCGGGTCTCGAATCGGCGTCAATAGGTTAAAAAAATCGTTGATGACGTGTAGGGCACGGAAGCTTAGGGGGGCAACAGGGCGGAATGCTGGGGGAGCCCGGCCCAACCCCCCCCCGGGTTAAAAAAAAATTTTAAAAAAAAAAAAAAAAAAAAAAAAAAAAAAAAAAAAAAAACCCAAGAAAAAAAAACCAAGGGGGGATTGATCCAATATAATATCATGTTATACATACTCAGCTGGGGCTACGGGTAAGATGGCGGGGTTGTAGACCCATTCGGGGATAGGCTGGCCGTCAGGGGTGAACCGGGCGAGGGTGGTCGGGTCACAGAAGGGGTAGTTGGGGCAAATGGCTGGGTGGACGCCGGCTGGGTACTCGCGGGCGAGCGCTACCACGGCCAAGGCACAGACGATGAACTAAGAAAATGAGATGATCATGATTATTACGTTAATTCAGTAACACAAGACTTACACTTACTTTTTTAATTACATTTACAATTTCAAATTTTACTCTTTATTTAAAAGTTAGTTACACATTTACACTTAATCTAACAAACAATATCAAGAAGTACTAATTTAATTTATATTTTAATTTAATAAAATAATATGGCTCAGAAAAGGAAGGCACTGGCACACGGGACTGATGTCCCGACACTTATATTCTGTGGCTCCTTCAAAGCTAACGTAAGCAAGATCGTTTTACATTTTGTTTATTACAAACCAGCGGTTACCAATATTGGTGCATTCGACCAAACATACAAAATAAAATTTGTAGCTTAAGATATTTGGATTAACAACTGACGAAAATCAATGTCAATTAAGTTCCTATTTATATAAGTGCTTTACTATTTGTTACAATAGCTTTTTGTATAAATTAACTTTCTATCGATTTCAAGTGAATTCTTCTAATAGTGTCTTTAGCTTGGTATTTATGGAATAAGAAAATACAAAACCAGTGTAATTACACAATTACAGCTATAAATCATAATTATTCACAAATGCAAAGCAAATAAGTCTCAAATGGTTCTGTTCGAATTCTAATCCCACGCGACAATTTACAAGTTAACACTGACAGTGTAACAATGGCAATTCGACATTATTTACTAATTATGCGCTATTAAGTACGTCCCAGAAATTAAATCCGTCTTGTGATACTGGTTTTTGGCCGCAACTTTGTCATTTGATAGTTGATTTAGAGTTTAACTTTACCACAAAATATCTATATCAAGTTTCATTTGCGAATTTTACAAGCGTCATAGATTATAGAATTAAGTTCTTAACATTATATTTTAGTAATTAAATGAATTTTTATTATTATTATTAAATTTTAATAAACATAAAAGTTATGGTCATAATTGAGCTGATAAAACTACGTTTTAAGAAAGCTTACAATCCTATAAAGGAAAAAATATCGGATTCTTTTTCAAAGTTTCACGTAATATGTGGTAACATTTTTGAATACTCTAATCTTTCTACTTGACTGATCCTGCATATTTGAATCAATTATTTAGTGTAGGCGCAAGGCCAGTTCGGTGTGAAATGAATATTAATGGGCCATCGTAATTATTCTCCATTATCAACAGACACTGTCAATTTTGACAGATTTCCGGGACGAATTATCTTTAAATAATTCGGGAAATATCTTTGTACCTAGAGTTACGTAATTTGTTAGGAAGAAGAATTTGTATTTTTTGTTGTCGAATTTCTTGTTATTTTTTTAGTATTCTTGCATGACAAGAAATTGAATTATACAGAAAGAAAAATATATAAACGTTTTCTACTAAACATTTATTATATATATAGCGTTGAGATATTAGAGCTTACCAATGGCTTAATTTACAAAAGATGTATTAACATTGAATAATAGACTAAACGTTATTTTCGCAAAGTATCTAGATTACAATTTTGTTTTTAAAACCTTAGATTATCCATTTATAATAAATCTACTTATTACTTCATACAATAAGTACATTTGCGTGTTGTGTTCGAAGTTTTTTTTAAAATACGTCACACTTATGACTGCGCGCACTACATCACACGTTTCGCACTGGAAATTATAGAATAAAAATAATAAATAAATCTTACCAGTTTGGCGTACATGTTGTATATCCTCTCGACTATCAAGTGAGACTGATGCATTTAGCAGGGTCGCGATACTATTTATACTATGCGCATGCGACGATTTTCGACCGGCGCAGCCTGTTTGTAGGGTTAAAATCAATGTTTCGAGTTCTTCAACCAGAAATGGATCATTAAGAGTACGCTGTTTACGGACGGTTTGACATCCTTTATTTGTGATTGAAATTAAAAAAATATCTTTAAGGTATATTGATTACGCAGAGCGCCTTCATTATACAGTTGTAAAGGCCAATTTTAGCATTGCCTCTCAGCGCGAGCGATCCTAAATTTGCTTACGAGAATGAGCTAGTTGCTTTCGCTCAAATTGGCGAGAGTAATTTGTCAACCAACTTTCAAGTTCGTTACAATTTATTATTACAAAAAGCAATATTTTGCAACAACTATAACCTTTTGTGTTTATTAACTTAGCTAAGCTTTGAGGAACTAGTTGCGCACATCAGACACAAAGACATATTTGGCACACCGGGGATTGAAGTCCCGACCTCACGGATTGAAATGACAACTAGGCCATCAACGCTATATGCGTCTTATAGCATATTTGATTGTAAGTGTGTCCTAAGAAGCAGAGTCGAAATCTAGGCTAATATTTCCTAAAAACTTCTAACTAAAATATCTAAAACTGATAATAAAATATATAATAATATAAATGTCATGTAATTTGTTGATACTCGCAAATGAATAGTGACAATCCCAAAATGGAAAATAAACAAATTATCTTTCGCGCGTTTTTTCGCGATCGGATAGTTGTCCTTGCACTTCCGCCACGATCGTAAATTCTTATTGACGGATGAGCTGATAAACGTAAGGTAGATATTATATTGACTCCGTCCAGTGGGGTTACTCGTTTTATCGTTTTAATATAACATCTAATTAAAAGAGCTCAGCTGTAGTTTGTAGAATTAAAGCAGAACACTTTAACGGTTTGAAACGTGATATATATTAGTTAAAACTATTTTAACTACAGCCCGAATTTTCGGATGCTTTGCAGCAGCCGTGTTGGTGGATATATCGGGGTATATTTTAAACTGTTTAAATGTTTTATTTAAATGTTACTACTTACTCACGTAAACTACAGTCAGTATTTAGTTTATAGCAGTCTTATAATATAGGATCATGACAAAATAATTATCTGTTGACGGGAATTGCCTTCTCTGCTTTTATTTTTTTTTATATGTCCTATGATAGATAAGGTTAGACATTCAGAAAACCACAGATTTAAACTTTAAAGCTTTTTCATCTGTAAGACGTAATGACCTATTTGACTTTCAGATTTTCCAGAAATCTTTAACATGTTTCAGAGACAGATGTGGGACAGATTTGTCCCACATCAAACGGACAGCTGTTTTTTTCTACTTTTCTTATTTTCTACCTCTCACACTTTATATATTAAGTTAACAAACGTAAATAAGTTTTATATGTGTACACAATGGAGAAATAAAGTGACGTCTTGTAGGGTCCATTAAATGATAAGTAGGTAAAGATCCTTGATATTTCGTAAGCGTAATTTCGGTTTTAATGACGTTCAATATTTTCTGAAATGAGTAGTTATGCTTATTAATTATATACTTATAACTATCAACTTCCTCAGAATTTTACAAGGCAACCTAAGGTTTGCTTAACTAAGGTGTGAGGAAAAAAGTAATGTATGCGTAGACGCATCAAACATTTTCCTATTAAATTTATATATTTATAGTCTATAGAATAAAATTACAATCTATTCTAGACTTGATGGATTGTAAAAATTAAAAAAAAACCTCTAATCTACGACCATCGTCCTAGTTTATGGTCGTTAGCAATAGTAACAGCTGCGTCCATCGTGTTTCCATAGAGAATCATTTACCTCAAGTTATTTGAAAAATTCATGTCTTTACTATAAAAGCAAAGATAAACATAAGTTCATATTTTTTAAAGGAATAGAGACATTGATTGATTGAATCGATAATTGTATATATTATAAAACCCTATGAATATTATTGTATATTAAGATGTAATACATATTAATTATCTGTGCCCATTGCTAATTGTACTATGACGAACCTACGATATCTGATCGACAAAAACCTGAATGTTGTAGTTTAAGTGAAAGTTTCGACTATGTTGGAAATTATTGTCCATTTTATTCTATTAACTCTGACATATTATTCTTATTCGTTTTTACGATACCTAGGCGGTTCATTATCTTTCCTAGGTCTGTGGCTACGGGCTTTAAATAAGGGACTTATAATTTCATAATAACAATTATATATAGAATAACGTTATACATATAAACAAGTAACAAAATACACAAATTTTAAAGGTTAATCGAATACAAATTGAAAAAAAATTTTGACTCGGGCACACCCAGAACCGGCAACGTCAGCGTTCCGTGCTGGTGTTCTAACGGATGTAAAGCTAATAAATTATAATTTGAACTTTACTTTTCGCTCGTCAATGTGTATTTTCATTTTAGCCGTAACATACATATCTCCATAATGTGGCATATCTGTACAGTGATTCATTTTCAAGGTCCGATAATCGATACGAGATTTATTATCATAATTATTTTATTGAAAAAAGGGCGTTGGATTTTTATGCTAAGCGTTGGCAGACGTAACCCAAGCTAAATATTGCTTGTTTGTCGGCCAGGCACATTATCATTTCTTATAATAAAACTTCTGTACCCCACTGAAAACAACGCTTTCCCTTGGACTCGATATTTTCCCAGGATAGGACATATCTATACTATGATTATAAAGTTGAAACGATGATATAATATTTATTTATTGCATCATATTATTTATTTTTGCATCCAACTTCCTTGCAAGTTAAGTTTAAAAATTAGACATGTACCTACTGTCGTAGACATCTATTTAATCATTAAAAAAAAGTCATTATATCGTACATATATACATATTTGGGTATCTCTAACCACTATCGCAGAACATGTGAGGGAAATTTTAAAAGATGAATAATTTTCCGCGTTGCTCCACATTTTCCACATTACCTTTAAAGTCTAAAGCCTTCATCGACAAATGCCACCAACACAAAATTTCATTCAATTAGAATCAGTAATTCTAAACGAATATTAAAAAATTAAACTCTTTAGCTTTTTAATATTAGTATAGATAAGATTAAGTATAAACGACTGCATGAAATGGTAAAAAAACTTATTTGTAACCATCTTTTACCATATATCACCGATTCCACATCATTTACGTCGCCAACAACAAGTGTTAATTAACAAATAATAATTAAACAGCAAATTGATTGCGATTTAGGTGAGAGGAATGCGAAAATGGGTTGGAGCGCACTTAAAAACCAGATCGAGATGACATTTACAGAATTGTATTAACCTAACTAGAAATAATTGCTGTTTATTTAACTTTCAACAGAAGCTCCTTTTCAAGAGCTAACGAAGTTCAAGAAGTGCGAAACAAAATGGATGCGGCATAACAACTATATACGGTATTAACTAGTGTATTATATAATAAGAAAAAAAAAGAACTATTTATTTTTCGCCGATACCGTATTCTAATCGACTACTTGCGCGTAATTATTGAAACAAATACAGTATTTACCATGAATTAGAAACGATAAAATAAAACATGGAGATTATCAAAGACGTATTTTTTATTACTTACAATAATTTACTGTCTTAACTCTTCCATTGAACTATTTGTATAAGGATACCATGATAACTTCGCTTTTTTTAAATATACACTAATCATTTATTATTTGGATATGAATTTCAGGTAACTTACTTACTAGAACTATAGAGTATAGAGTTACTATAGTAGAACGGTCTACCTTGTGTTTTTTGTTAAGTGGAGTGCCGCATCCATGTCCACATCCTACGTCCATCGATCTATATTCCTTCCGCATTTTTACGGAGGGCACGGAATGTATAATTATAACGTTTTATTCACTTATCTTCGCTTAAAACCCAAATAAGTGAGACCTCATTAACATTTCATCTTGGTAATTAAATGTGGATTAAACATGTGGAGCATCGTAGATGGATAGGCCGTGAGTCCATCTTTTTTATGACCACTAGTCGGATTTATGGACATACTCCAAGAAACAACTGAACATCGGAATATCATTTGTGTTTGCCCGAAGAAAGTGTACACGTAAAAGATTCTTGTCGGACGCGTTGGGCCAATTATAGCTAGGTATGGCTAACGGTCAATGTTGGATTTGATCGCCACTGGGTCCTGAAACATGCTGGACTTCGTCTGGAAATTTGGATATTAAATTGATGGTAGGAATATCGAAATTTCGTCCGGGTCACGAAATTCACAAATTAAAAAGTCGTCAAGCTTAATCGCGTTTCGGTTTCATTGTGGATTTTCAAACATCCAAAGCTAAAATGGGACGACAGCGCATCTTATTAAGATGTTATTTGGCTGGGGTATTTCTAACGTCTATTATATTTTGCTGCGCATTGACTGCATTTTGATTGCAAGAATGTAGGCGTCGTTTTATGGCTTACTTAGCATGCAAATTGTATCATTTAACTATTATAAGTTATTTCTGGTATTTATTATAACACATGTTGTATAGAGCGCGCGCATTTATCATGATTACAGCATAGCTATTACAGTGAGATATATTAATTAACTTATTAATAATTTGTTTAATTACAACCCGACAATTTAAATCGTAAAATTTGTTTTTATTTAAATGTGTACAACTCGTACAAGCTACCGATAATTCCTGATTATAACTAATCGTTAAACATCTGCTTTTTCGTTGAATATTTAATGTATGTTTGTTTGTGATTATTAATGAAGATAGAGAGATAGCTTCATAGGCTTCTTACCCCCGAGGGCACCGAAATTCAGTCCCTTATTATCATACATATATGATAAAGAAGCCAAACCTTTCTCCAATACAATATGCACATTTGTATTTTATATTTAAGTATTATGATATCTAAGTTTACTTTTTTAAGTGCCTGTTGGTTCTTGTCAAAAAAATGGTTTGAATTTGGGTTTGCAAATGTTCGATGTAAGCAGTGA